TGAAAGTTTCATTTTTATCATTACATTATGGAAAATAATGACCTTTATCACAATATGCTAATTTTTTTAGAAGGACCTGTATACATGCCAAGGGCATCAGAAGCATTTGTAATGTGGGGGGGGACACAATGGTGTGTAGGTGCGTGCGCGTGTGTGCGTGCATGCACGTGTGTGCGCACGTAAAAAAAGGTGTTCACTAGTGAACATAAAAGCAACATTTCACGTAGATTTCCTTTAATTCCACACATTTAAAACATGTTTCTCACCAAGTTTTTGTAAATTCATCTGTGGATTTTAAATACATTTTAACTTTAATACACTTTAATACGGAGCGTCAGATAGGCACTCTTTGTGTTTATAGAGAAATAAAAAGCATCACCACTGGACTTTCTTGTGTTCAACGGTACTCATCTAAATGATGTTTCTCATGAAGCTTGAGGACAATAAGGTGTGGAGGTTTAAAGACATTTCAACTTTAATGCACCTGAACACACAGCGTCTCTCACACCTTCAGCGTCTTACAGCATCACAGTTACTGCTAAGCTAAGATGCTACAGATGTAGCGCTCCACTTCTCTCCTCCTCCTAACATGAATATATGTTTATGATCAACCCACTGGTCAACAACTGCCCGCACTAAGCTCGCTAAACTGGCAAGCGAGTAACACAGGTACCTCCACCTCCTCCACCTGTGCACGTTTGCCGAGGCAAGAGGCAGGAAGGTACTGTGAAGAGATGGAGGTAACCAAGAAAACCTGGAGTGGCGTTTTAGTGCCTTGAGTATTCTCCTATTAATCAAGTGGAATGGATTTGTTCACGAAGAAAGAGAAACTGCGCCGCCTGAACTAATGTTTTATAGTAAAAGTGGGGGGGTCCAAATGAATGTTTTTTTAATGTGGGGGGGACTTGTCCCCTACACATATAATGGTTGCAACGCCTATAATACATGCAGATATCCACAAATATTAATTTATATAATTGCAGACATTCACATCTAAAAAGGTTCAATCTAGTCCTCTGGACATTCAAAAAAAAAAAAAAAAACAAAGCAAAAAAATGTAGATACGTTTTGTCTTTCATCCGAAAGACTTCCTCAGACTGAGGTGCTGTATTCAGCTCAGTCTCTTAAATAGCACCTTCTCAGAGTGGATCAACCAGTTTGCTGCTGACAACCAAAACAAGCTGCTCACATGATCAAGAAGGACCATCAGCCTAACGATGGATCATTAGCACACTGATGGCTGTTTACTATTTACAGGGGGCTGAGTGATACTAGCAATATTAGCATTGTAAGAGGGGGACAGTTGAACACGGAGGCCTCCACCCCTGTTTAATTATGGATATTTTTTTAACACAAAGATGGCCTCCTTTACTCCTCTCTCAAACCATTGTTCCTCTCTGTCCAGGATGTGAACATCTTCATCCCTTAAAGAGTGACCGCTGGCCTGGAGATGAGTGTAGACCGCAGAGTCCTGGCCTGATGATGTTGATCTTATGTGCTGGGCCATTCTTTTGGCCAGTGGCTGTTTAGTTTCCCTTATGTAAGACTGATCACAGTTCTCATGACGCTGAACAGCATACACAATATTACTCTGTTTGTGCCGGGGGACTGGCTTTTTGGGATGAACCAGTCTTTGCCGTAATGTATTTTGGGGTTTAAAAGCCACTGGGACGTTATGTTTAGAAAATAAACGTCTCAGTTCCTTTGATACTCCCGCAACATACGGAATGACCACAGGTCTGGGTTCTTCCTTTTCATCTGATGGCTGACTGGAGTCCTGTTTGGGTTTCTTCTCTGCTTTCAGGAAGGCCCAGTTAGGATATCCACATTGCTCTAGAGCCTGTCTTGTGTGGAATTTCTCCTTCTGCCTGGCTCCTGAGTTAGTGGGGATGCTGTCTGCTCTGTGGTACAGAGTCCTGGTGACTCCTAACTTGTGCTCCAAAGGGTGATGGGAGTCAAACTGCAAATACTGGTCTGTGTGGGTGGGTTTGCGGTACACCTCAGTTTGTAAATGTCCTCTATCAGAAACTGAGACCTCACAGTCCAAGAAAACCAACTTGCCATTTTTTTACATCTTCTCATGTGAACGTGATGTATTTATCCACAGAGGTGATGTGGTCAGTAAAATGTTGGACTTCCTGAGATTTAATTTTAACCCAGGTGTCGTCAACATACCTGAACCAATGACTTGGTGGTGTCCCTGAAAAGGACGTCAAGGCTCTCTTTTCTACCTCCTCCATGTACAGGTTGGCAACAATAGGAGAAACTGGAGACCCCATAGCACACCCATGTTTCTGCCTATATTATTGCTCCCCATATGTGAAGTAGGTTGACTGCAGGCACAGTTTCAAGAGTTGACACAGTTGTTTTGTGGAAAGCGTGGTCCTGCTGCTCAGAGTGGTGTCTGATTTTTATCTTAAACTGACAACCTCTACTGCATCATCAATAGGAATGCACGTAAAGAGTGATGTGACATCAAAAGAGACCATTGTTTCACCAGTCTCCATGATGACATCCCTCACCTTATCTACAAAGTCCATGGTGTTCTGTATGTGATGTTCTGAGCTGCCAACAAGTGTGAGATGATATAGCATCCCTGCTGTTCCAAGTGGGAGATGATAACATGATTTGCTATAGTTGTTAAATCATAAAGTTACAGTAAAATAAAGTGTAAAAACAAATGACACAGAAAGGAAGGAAGGGCATGATAAAAGAGCATGACTTCAAAAGTTTGGGGGTTTTATGTTTCTTCTAGATTTCATCAACCCAGCATTCCCAGAGAAAGATCCTACCATCTACATTGGGAATTCATTCCAGCAACACTTCGGCCACTCAGCAGGCTCGTTCCCTCACCCACAAAGCCTGGACAAATATGATATGGCATTCACTAATCCTGGATACCCCCAGCTCCCAACCCAGAGAGACTTCTCAGACAACCTGCCGGTCAGTGCACACAATCAGAACCAAGGAGTTATCAAGAACTGCTTTTATGTTCTCATGACATTTTCACTGTTTCTTTTCCTAGATGAGGACCGTCAGACCTCAGATCAGGACCTCCTGGGACATTTGAGCTCAGATCAGGACTCCCTGGAGCTTCTGAGCAGTGCATTTCTTGCCCCTGCTCTTCAAATATATTTATTTTCTATAACAGTGTTGATTTGCGTCTTCGCTCCGCCCGAGTTCGTTGTTATGGCTTGT